TTAGGAAGTTCAGTCAGGTAGAATTGCTTACTGTAACACTTAATTGCTTAGAATAAAATCTGGTTGGTTGGCCAGTTGCCTGCTTTGCTCAGCTGAGAGGACAGTACTGAAGTTTTGTAAATGATGGCAAAGACTGTCAAGAACCAAGTCACAGCATTACGAACAAACTGGGAAAGAAATCTGTTAGTTTACACTATTTGCAGAGATTGTACATAGCATTTCATCCCTTCAATGGGCTGTGAAAACTTTTCTGTAGTTGAGAAGTTGCAGTACTACATAGGGAGGAAAATCACTACTGGCAGCTCAGGTTTATAAAAACTGGCAGTGCTACATGGGGGGCATTTCCTATTTGTAATCTAACAGTTAAGTAAAGTTCGGCCTTGCAAGCATGTTCCATATAACTCATTGAGAGTTATAATAATAATAATATAATTATATATTACTATTATTATTATATGAGATTAAACCACGTGATTTTCTTTTCTGTAGTTTCATCTTTTAATGAACAGTAGCCAAATTTAATTGATAATCTGGCAAGTAAAAGATAAATGTTTGCACTGTGGTGTGTGAGAGAAATCTTATCAACTATCAGGAATGAAATGCCAAACGTAGTATTTGACTGTCATGGGACTTTTAAAACATTTAAATATGAAATTGCTGTAACCTATGTTATGGAGCGTCACTGTCAACATTAGCTGACAAATTGAGTGAGTTAATTAAGTCATAGGTAATCATTTCTTACTACATTTGACGTGGGAAGAAAGATGTCTGGATTTTACATTCAGTAGACAAAACAAAAACAGCTAGCTAGAAGATTCTGCAGCTGTATTATCTGTTTTACAAAAGAGAAGACAGGAGGAAACATTTGGATCATACTGGTCTATTTATCTGTTTTGTTAAAGTCTCTACAAAAATATTAACTAATATTAAATAGCAAAAGTTAATTAGTGGAAAAAATAGATGGTGAATGAAGATCCTGAGTGCTTTTGAGGCTCTGAAATACTGTTCAGTCTCCACTGCGTTCCTCCATGAGATTATTACCTGCCAAGGAAATATATATATTTTTTTTTTATTAAAAAACTTTATTATCAATTTGTATATTCCTTCAGGGAACCTTCAAAAGAGTCATTAGAAAATTAATAGAAAGTCAGGATTTTATGTTAATTCTGCAGTAAACTTTGTGTATTTCAAAATGAAGGGATTTTGAGTTTGGAGTGCCATGCTTTGCCTGCATTCTTATCTCCAAGATCATTGATTATCATTTTTTCTTTATTTTTTTGGAATGTCAGTCCTTTTTGAAGTAACAAAATGACAAATGCAAAACCAAGGAGAATTTTGACAGTAAGAATTCTCCTATGTAGTAGATGTGGAAACTGTTTTCTGAAATGTCAGTCCTCTCTATTGTTCAACTTCTTTGGCTTGTCTTCCGTTACGTTAGTCTCTGAATTTTTAGATTATTGCACTTGATGTTATTGGCTTGGCCCAGAAGGAAGAAAATCCAGCTAAACTGCCATTTGAAATTGAGAGTGCTAGTATATTTCTTGGCACATTTTCATACATCGAGTAGAAAAACCACAGGCATTATTCTGTGTTAAGAAGTGTCAACAAAACCTCTGCCATTATTTTTTATTTGATTTGGATTGGTACCAAAGGAAATACTCTTGTAGCAACTGTAGTCACTTTAAGAAGAATCTTAATGAAGACAAATACATGCTTTTTCTTCCTTCCCTTGTATTAAAAGACCTGTTTATTTATCAGATATGCTTTTAATTGCATTTCAGATGATGTTTTAATAATTAGCCTGTTTTATACTTACTTTAGAAATATGTATAAAGTGATGATAAAGTGGAGTTAAAAACGAAATGCTGAAGTATGAACTATGAAAAACCCCACATTTTCAAAAATGTCAAAACTAGGTTTAGAGTCGAGCATCAGAAAAGATTACAAAGGTTGATAGGACTCTTTAAATAAAGGTCATCAATAAATGGCTAGTATTGCAAAGTAATAAGTTACGCAGATGGATGCAGCTCCATGCTGTGCCACTGTAATTTGGCAATTCAAGCATCATTTTAGTATTATTTTGTTATTCCTTTGCTTATGTGGAAACTTTCCCAGCTCTTGTTCTGTCAGCGTCCCTCAGTCAGGTCAGCCTTAAGTCATCATGTTTTAGTGCAGGTTATTTTGGCCTTAACTGTGCTTTAGTTTCTGAATCTGTAATCACATACACCTCTAATTCTGAAATCAGTAAAACAGCCTGAGAAGCTGGCACTAAACAATAATAAATATTTTATGCATATAGATTCTGCTTCCATGAGACACTGAAAATTTTAGCAGTACGTTACAACATTAGGTACTCAGAATTAATTTCAGAAATATGTGATGAATTCATAGAAACCCAATTTTGGCTTTTAAAAAGCTTAAAGCACATGTTGATGTAATCTTGTAGTGAATAGGTACTACAAAGATTTTTAACATAGATGTGATGGATAGAATTATGCCAGAAGTCCAGAGTAAGAGGATTTGTGAGACATACTTGGCTATCGTTAGTGTTTAGGATGCCTTATCAAATTAATATATTTTGTAAGTGCGTTTTTAAAATTATCAGTAGTTAGAAATGCTAGAACATGAAATACACATTTTTGGTGATATGCTACATAAGAAAACATTTTCATATTGTATTAAAATTTGCTTCACTAAAACCATTTCTGTGTACATATTTATTTTAAAAATTGGGAACCTTAGTAAATACAAATCTTGGGCTTCTTTCATTTTTGTACAAGTTGTATTTTTTTCTTAACTATGACACATTTGCTGTCTGAAAATGCGGTAAGTGTATCTTGTGAAATACTTGAGATCTGAAAGTTGACAATAATTACATAACTTGCTTGTTTGTTGCTGACTCGTGCTAATTTGCAGTGAAATGGGAAATTTAAATTTAGATTACAACTGTCGTAATTACCTTTATCAGCAAAATAGCCCATTACTGACAATTACTTACAAAGTAGGAAGAATGAGCCCTTTCAGTCATTGCATTTGCTATTCCCGTCTTACATCAATTGCACACAACTCAGGGAGTTCGGGAGTCTGTTTTTCAAATTCTTTAGACTAGAAAACAACTTCCAAGAAATTCATTATGAATATTAAACACTAGTTGAAATATAAAGACTGGCACAACTTATTGTTCTTCATTACTTTTGATGTCTGCAAGCAACCAAATGAAATACGTTTGTACTGCGTGAAGAACAAAAATGTTAGGTGGTGTTTGTGAGTTAGCACATCAGCTAGAAATAGAACTGACTGTTTTTGCATTCTACTTGATTATCTGAGTCTTGTAGTCTGCAATATAGGTATCTGAAATAAATTTAACATGGTATTTCACTTCAGCATATGTGACTTGCAGCTGTATTTCCCTGGAGCAAAGGCAGACACATGATAGTGGTTCTGTACCTGTTAGTGCCTGCGAGGCATGCAAGGTCTCTAACTGTTGAAAAGGAAGGTGTTTGTTTTTAGACACTTTTGGAGCCAGTGAACACTTGGCGTAATGTGTTGTGACTGTTCTGATTTGCAAAAAGGCTCCCTGTTGATTGTTTTTAAAATCTGAAACATTTTTACTTGTTCCATATTGAAACAACTTTCAGTTCTCTGAAAGTCAGTTGCCATATTGACTAAAGCTTTCATATAGAGCCATACAACATGTATTGAGAAAGAGAATGATACAACTTCATTCTAAGCCTTTAAGCTATCAGAATTTTGAATAACTAAAAATAATAATTTGTTAAACAGTAATTATTGGGCTCCCCTACAATCTTGTACAATGTATTCAAATTTAAATGGAGCTGGCATGGGTGAAATTACTTCTGTAAGTTTGTACTGTGCGTTCATTTCCATTATTCTCTGGCCTGCTTGCTTCAACACAGAGGCCGCAGGAAGCACAGTGGGTAATACAGATGGACAGCTGATCTTTTTGGTCACAAAAATTCATATATTTCAGATGTTATTTGGCTTCTGCTACTTTAATCTTTATACTACGTCTTGTAACAGTGCCACTGTACTTCTGGGATGTTAGTTGTTCATTTACTTTTTTAGTGCTTTTTTAGCTCTGATAAATTTGGAATTTGGAAGATCAGAGTGTTCTCATTGTCTTAGCTTCTGGAATACCTCTGTGAATGTAGATGAAGGAGAACAGGGGTAGCAAAAAAATCTTTCACAAAGAAATAGAATAGAGATGTCCTGTTGAGGCCTTAACAAAGACTTCTTGTCATACATTTAGATGAAGTAAGACATCAGCGTTTCTGCAAATTTATGGCACGTTAGCTAAAACCACTTAACAGAATGCGATTCTTTTGGAGGTAAATTTTGCTAAATATGAAGAAGTCCAGCTAGCAGATCAGTTCTGCTAAAGATAGAAATAACGTGTGATACATTGATACTTATTAAAATTTTGTATTTATTTCATATTAATAAATTAAGCTTCAATTTGTTTAAATTTAAATAGTTCTGTTTTGCATGCATTAATCTCAACTTTCTGTTTCAAGTGAATACAGCCTATATTTATGCTCTCCTTTATACTTCTTTGCTTGTTTATTACTGTCTTCTTTTTATTACCAGTGTTTTATTTTTGGAAATGTTACGTTATTTGCAAATCTTGTTGCTTGTAGTCCTGCCTCAAATTTTTAATATAAGAAATTAGTGAATATATATCTACATATTCATTTCATTTTATAAATTTGTAGATTGGTTTTTGTATATTGAGAAGCTGTGACTTTAATCTTTTTTCATTGTGAACCATTAAGTCATCCAAAGGAAGAAAAATAAGTCCAGTGTACTATATAAGTATTTCCTTCTCATGTTTCTGTTTGTAATGTTATGTATTTATTTGTATGCATCACCACATTTTAAACTATTTGGGATCAGAGGATTATTTAATTTTCAGATACTACTTTTGATAGTTAAGGACTTTGGGAAAGGTTCAGTAAAATGTTGGTTTATTCTGTCTTCAGAACAAGTTCATAGACACTTGGATCAGCATGAGGTGAAATATTTGCAATTTGCTTTCCGATGGATGAATAACTTACTGATGCGAGAAGTCCCTTTACGATGTACCATCAGATTATGGGACACATACCAAGTAAGTACTTTATTACACTTCCATATCTCTGACTGTGTGTTTCCAACATGCAGGTGTGTTTCTGTGTTATTCTTCTTGAACCTTTTGATTTAGAGCCGTAATAAAATGAGTCTTCCGTGATCATTACCATTTAGAAACATTAAAAGTTTTCAGTCATTTTGCTCTTAAAAAAACCCAAGCACTTTATATAGGTATCAATTTGTAGTACTAAAATGTACCCCTTGTCAAAGCATGTGTTAATGACCATACTCCTTCTGCCTCTTCAGAAAAACAAAACATTGAGTTTTGTTTAATCAGTGTTCTCCATAGATTCTGAGTTCCAGGCTTTACACTCCCCCCCCCCTCTCCCTTAACTATTCATTCCAAAACTAACATACATCTCTCCAGCACAGAGAAATGCTCATCCTTCTGTAATTAGTCTTGTTCTATTGTTTATTCAGACAGAATTCCTTGTGTTGCTGACCTCTACTTGAGGCAGTTAGTTTCTTCAATAATTTCTTGCTCAACTGTCAAGCGAAAGAATTGGTATTAGCAAAAAACTGTTAGTTCTTAGTTCTATTTCTTAGTGTTCCAGCAGCTTCTGCTTCTACTTTTTAATTCTTTTTAATTCTTTTAATTATTTATTTAAATGATAGACTTTTGCCAGAGGTGAGGAGCACTGCTGGGAAGAGGTATCTGGGTAGGACAGACTGCCTGGTTCCATTGAGTCTGTACTGGGTGTCCATTCTGGCTCCCCCACTTGATGAGGACATCCAGGACAACAGTGAGCGGCTTCCCTTCTCTTGCAAGGATACCAGAACAGCGGCCTTTCTTTAAAGAGGGTTGCACTGTTGTTTTCACAGAAGGAAACCTTTTGTCTCCTTGCTCTTCCCCTCTTACTATCACAGTTAGAGTAATGCCTCACCGAGCTGACTGTTTTCTTCAGTTCAGAGAAAATATGGACTAAATATCGATGTTTCCAGTTTAAATTACAACTTAGTTATTCTCAGAGTAGGCCCAGTTTTCCCATGAACTACACTGGGAGGTTTCAGGGGAACAACAGCACTCTTCTGCTGTGTATTTCCTGGTGTGATAGATAACTGTTGTTATCTAGAATGGTTAGAACCATGCTATGTCTCTTGAAATTCTTTGCAGTTCTTCCATTAATGTTGTGAGAATAGGATCAGGCACTTAAATGCTATCCAGATCTGTCTTGGTTTGAATTGTAATAAAGGTTCTCTATCTGGTATCATGTTTTTGTCTAGTTTAATTTGGGATTCATCAGTCATTTGTTATGCTCTGTGAAGTAAGTCATTGAACATATAATCCAAAATACCTGTGGTTGATCTAGTTAAAGTGTAGGGGCAGAGGGAACTGGAAAGGTTCCCAAATCCTCTGTTAAGTAAATGCTCTGGTATTCTGTAGCTGTGTCTCTGAAATCCACTAAAATTTATCACTGTCTTCTGAAGCAGAACTTTGTAAAATAGGAAAATTAAGGACATTATGCATGCTGCTTACAAAGAATGTGTTGCAAGAGCTTCTTAGCTGTAAATGTTGTGTTTTACTTATTTTTTAACTCAAATTGCATTTTAATGAGAATGAATTATTCCTTTGTTTACTTGATTTGGTCTTTGCATTTTTCTGTTTGGTTTTGTTTTTACGGTAAATGCTTGAAATATTTTATATATATTTTTGAAAGTGATATTGCTTGTGAAGTAATGCCTAAGACACATTTTAAATCTATAGAACTGTACTGCATGGATGGACATGGACTTTGTCAGATGCGAAAGATTTCACAGCCTGATAATATAATATAATAGCTCAGATTTATCTTTCTATTATTTCTTGCCTTTTTATTCTACCTTTTGCCACGTTTTTTGGCATAAAGAATTGGTAAACTAAGATAGCATGGTGGCAGAAAAATTCAGGGATTATGCATGTTAGTTTTCTGTTTGCTCCTTTTTAGAGTTGTTGGTGGTTACTGACACTGAGTTAAAGATTTGTTTGCATATTTGAAGCAACGAGTTAACTCTGACCTAAATGATGCAGCATTCTGCATTGGAATGTGGGGGGGATATGTATATGCTCTACATCTATGCTGTTCAACACTAAACAGATATTTTAAAAAGTTAGGTTTTCTGTCAAAGTCTCTGAGGCTAACCTTGATTCACTTTAAGACATTTTGTAGAAGTTTGCATCAACTTTTTATTTAGGTTGATTTTTTTTCTTAAAAATCTGTGTAGTCCTTGAGGCCCTCTTAAGATCCACTGTATTTATGTAGCTGTGTATGTTTCTCTTAAGTGCAAAAAGTCATTACAGTGGTAGCATCCATTCGAAATCCTTCATCCTTTCCTAGAAGCAATACAAGTGTTAGGTTGTGAAGTCGTACAGAGTTAAATTTTAACTATTGGGTAAAAGTCTCGTCTTTTTTTTTTTTTAATTCTATGCTTGAATATTGAGTTCAGAACAACATCTGATTTCTGGGCAGTTGGGAGCTTGAAGGAAAACTCTCAATGGTGCCATTAAATTCTCCTGATATTTGATAATGTACTGTACTGACTGCTCTTTGAGATGAGGCAGTTCTATTTTTCATTTTACTGTTGATCTTCTGGCCTGATGTTCTTACACAAATTACCTTTCTGTGCTGTCATTCCTGCAGTGATTTCTCTGTGTAAATAACTCTGTAGGAGTACATAATTTCCTTGAGAAACACTGTTAGAAACTTACTCAGACTTTTGTGTTAGCTGGGTATTAAAATTTATGTGGATCTGAAATTGTTCAGGAGAAACAGCAACAAAACAACAAAAAATGCAACAAAATGTGAATGCACAAAAAAGGAAAGCTGAAGCAGTATATTAGTTTTCAGTTTTAAATATATTGTGGCAAGTGCCATTGGAAAGTGTAGATTTCAAGTGTACAGCCTAAAGTTTAATCCTGCCAGGAAACCTTTTTGTTTAGTACCACTTTGCTGACTGCTGTATAGCAGTCTACATACAGCTGTCTAGAAGGCTGATGAAGCTGAATTCTCCTAGTCTTTGTATACATTGCAAAACAGGTGAGTGAAGTACTATTTGCAACTTACCAGTCTATTTTTTCCTTCTTGGAACTAGTTATTTCTTCCTTGTCCAAGAGTCTGATGTTTCCCTTCTTCAAAATAAATATTTTTTAAGTTTTCTGAAAAATGTGTCTTCTTTACACCAAGTATTATTGCAAGTCCTCGGGTAGCAATTTACATACTTTTCTTATACAAGGAGAGATTGAAATTTATTTTCTCTCCCTCTTACTTAATGCTCACTTTTATTGTGTCTCAGGTTGGACTTCTGTTGTCCAGCATGGTAACATACATGCTTTTTTTCACCTTTGCTCGTTTGTATAACTTAAGCAACTAATTCATAGCTTTTGTTGGGGCAGGGTTGGGGGGAGGATTTTCTTTAAATATGGACATCTAATGTTACAGTTTAAAAAACAACATAGTTCATCCATTTTATTGGTCAATGGTATGATAGCTCTCTGCAGCATTTTGCAGCCGGATATATTTTTTAGGCTATCCTCAGTAAGTTTGTTTCTCTACTAAACTGTTCATTTTCTAGGTCGTTCTACTGAGTCATACTGATCTTACTGTTATTTTTGCCCTTTCATTTCTTGTATTTTATTTTTTCTTTAATTCATGTCCTCTTTCTGTCCTGTTCCACAACAATTAATGTCAGGGTCTAGCTAAGTGAAATTGATGAAAATATTTGGACATGTGAATATTTAATATCCAATTACTTATACACGAGTAGGATCATGTCTTTAAGATTTATAGACATTTGTCAATTTGATTGAAGCTGGCCATCAGGTTAAATGTTTCTGAAGTGGGAGAGATGGACCTGGTGGAACATAACCTTTCCTTCCTGGACATAAAATGCAAATGTGAAAGTTTAATTTTCTTAGGAAATAAAGGTAAAATACTGCTTAACTTGGTAATGGCTTCTTGTCCATATGGAATATACTGTAAGATAATCTCTTGGATTCAGAAGCATCAGAGGCCTCTGGAGCCTGTAGTCAAGTTATACCTTCTTCTTTGATTCTGTTATCCCTCATTTTTGTATGAGGAATGTTTTCTTTTCTCCAGCTTCCTGCCTGCCTCAGAGCTGGAATTCACTGTTCTGCTCTCTTCTGAGCTGAGCTGCAATTGTCCCTGCTTTCACTGTAATTCAAGAGCACACCTTTTCACATTATCTTCTTTATAAGTAATTCTAAAGATGTAATTAAAATCAAAAGTTCTTGGACACTAAACGTAAGAGGTCTTTTACTTACAAGGTTTGCAATCCAAATATTACCTTTTCAAACAAAACATCCTTATTTTAACTCTCCTTTTGTGTTCAAGTTAGTTTTTTCCCTTATGACATTAGTTCCTGATGCTTACAGCTTCCCTTCAACCTTAGCAATTGTGAAGTTTTTTTTGTTTTCTTTTTTTTTTACTTTTTCAGTCTTTGTCAGCCAACTGACTCTCATCACCTTATACCACATGGATAGTTATTTGCCAGGACAACTGTGTTGCCAAGGCAACTTTCCATTGCCAAGAGTTGTGCTCATTAAGACTTTATTTTGGCAGGCAATTATATTCCAGTGGCATAACACTGAAGTCAGTGACCTCTTATTGTTTATCTTCTGCTAACTGCAATCTGGAGTAACATAAAACTGACAGACAAGAAGTTAAGAATGTTAGTAAGAAAAAGTTTATCTTCAACTGTAACTTTTTGTACAGACTTGAACATGCATAAGGGTTGTATGTTTCTGAGTACCAATTTTTCTGACCTTAAAAAGCACTCATTCATATTTATATAAGTTCTCAGGTTTTCTCCTAGGAAGGATATAATCTAAATTGTAGAATTGTAGAATTACAATAATGTATATATACACTTGGTATTCTTGTTGATTATCAAGGTTTAGTTTATTAATTCCTACTTAATTTTGACTTTTAGTATGAGACAAGGCTCCCAAACTCCTCATGCAAGCAAATTAAGCAGATCATTAAT